GGGCCACCCACCGGGGGCTGCTGGAGACTGCGCTGGAGGATGGAGATTCGGCAAGTTAGGACGGCGACTGGGTTGCCTTGACTTTCATAGACCTTTTCGCATAAGTCGTAGCTACAGAAGAGGGGCAAATAAGCGTCCGCGTGAAAAAGAACAGTTGGAAAGTTGCCACGGAAAAGGGGTTTGGGAAACCGGATATACACTAGTGTCAAGGCCAGGGATGAAGGTACCCTGATAATGTATTAAGTCTCGACGTTAACGTGGCCTGCTAGAATGGTGGGATACACGAGAACGTTTGAATCAAGGCGCCAGCAAAATACATTATTCCTCAAATCCGATCCCAGTCACCGCTGTCCGACCGCAAGTATGGGGTCCGCGAATCCTTTTTGGACTTGTCGAAGGATAACAGCGCCTTAAGAAGTGAATTGGCGCACAGGGAAAACTTACTTACGAGTGGCGAGCAACTGGGAAATAAATCGCGATGTAGGGCAAAATGTCCGTATTTAAGTGACAACAAAAGCGAACCTCGTTTAGGGGAATAGAACTAGCTTAGGAGAAAGTGCGCTGATGACGATCGCAAGTATACTGAGTACAGCAGTTGGCAGGAGTGACTAACGACTCCTTACTAGAGTCATTAGCGAATAAATCGGATGCAAATTACTTAAAATGTCACTCGTTAATTAACGCTCATTGATCATTTACAGAACTCCCTCGTCCCGCTCTGCCTTGGGGCTCATTCTCGAGCCGCGACAGCAGGCGCACAGCGGCTAGTAGTCTAGGCAGATGACACTGGCGGCAAAGACAAGGGAGACTGGAATTGTCATGTTTAGCTTATGAGCCGTGATCAGCTAGTCAAACCCGACCCCAAGTGGTCCACCCCACCCGGGGTTCAATGGTTAGAGCGTTAGACTTCTCATCAAAAAGGTCGCGGGTTCGAGCCTCGGGTGATGTACCATTTGGGGTTGCGTATGGCTAACTACGGCTAATCAGACAGAAACAGTCTGCCTTGTTCTTGCCGGCAATGCTATCTAAC